TACTACAATTAATACTGTCTTTGTTCCTTCTTTAATTGTTCCTCTGCCAGGTGGTAAAGTAACATAATATGGATCTTCTTTTGAATTAATTACTTGATAAGCCATCAAACTTTGGAATGGTACATTATAATCCAATGCAGCCTACAAAAACATAATATTTAATTTCTTTCAAAATAATAATAATAATAATAATAGTAGTAGTAGTAGTAGTAGTAGTAGTAACGGTAGTAACAGTACCTCAGTTTCACCATAATTAGTTCGATCGTCAAGAAATTCATCTGTTTGGTTGGGTCCACCAATAATACAACCATATAAAATATGTAGAGTCTCAGGAGGATCATTCAAATCTTTTATGTTAGTGCCGCCATGTGCACCAGCATGGTGGGGGTTTTGAGGTGAATTGGGGTGAACACCAATGACATAAGGAATTTTTAAGGGATTTTTTCCCAACAAGTAATTAATTTGTGAATTGGCAAAATCATTATAACTTTTAGATTTTGATGTGGAAGTGGCTAAAGGTGAATACAATAAAGACACAAAAGCTGCATTAAGAGCAGGATTTAAAGATGCTGCATTGCTGTCACCATCACAAAAGTATAATCCGCCATTTGTAAATTTACATCCATCAGATGATGCACTTGAAACACCATCTAAATATCTTTCTGATTCTTTTGTCCATCTACTATTATCTTGATTGGATTCTTTGATTAGTTTAGCAAATAACACATAACAGGCACCAGTTTTATCATTCCAATTAATAACCTTATTTAAACCACCTAAAGCAAAGGTATCAAAATAATTTATGGCTTTGTTCATATAATCTTGAATCTTTGTTGCTCGATATAACCAAAGTGAAGCCCAAACTAATTCATCACCATATTCTGAAGAAGAATAAAATTCATTAACCTCAGGGACGGAGTCTTGATATTTGACGAATGGAGTTGTTTCTGCAAATTCGTATAAAGATTTTGCATGTGATAACAAAGTATCAGCATAAACTGTATCGTTTAATTTTTCTCGAAATAATATAGAGGCAGATGCCATTGCAGCTGCAGCTTCAGCAACAACATCTGTTCCATGAGCAGAAGAATTTACATTAAGTGATGGACGCGGTAAAGGAATTCTAAATAAAACAATACAACATTCTTTAATATTTTTTTTTTAAATCCTCCACCCAAAAAAAAATAACGTAAATTAAATTAACCCTGTATCAGGTCCCCAGTAATTATGATCTATATCACCTAATCCAATTTGAACGTATAAAGTATTTTTGTCAGGATGAGCTTTTATTAGCCAATCTGTTCCCCATCTAATCATATCTTGAAGATACTGAGTTTGATTTGCAAGTTGATATCCATCAAACCATTCGTATGCACCCCATGATAAAGATGTAATTGTCCAGGATAATGGTAAAGTAAATTTTAAATAATCGCCTAAAATTTTTTAATATGGTGGTGGTGATGATCCTTTAACTATTAAATAATTTTTCTATTGCTAATTAAGCGAAATCAATTGATAATAAAACATACCAGCATCATAATATCCCTACGTGTTTAAGATTAATTAAAAACTTGTAAAATAATGTATCATTTTAATAATTACGTATGGTATACTTACGCCACTGAGATCTAGTTTAACATCCTGACCATCTGTCAATGCAGAATCCTTTCTCCTAATTGATAATAATTGATTTGATTGATTTAATTAATCTATCAATGTATCAACAAAAAATTCTTTTTTTTTTAATTACCAAGTTACTCTGTTATTTGGGAGTAATTTACCACTTCTCTGAGCTTCATAAAAATATAAAGAATAAGAAAGCAACTTTGTGTATTCATAGTTTGGATACGCTGTATTAATGTTTTTTGGTATACCAGCTATATCAGGAGCAGGAATTGCGTAATTTTGTGGTTTAACTGATACTATATTTAATATAAACAGTAGTATTAATATTAAAAAAATCATTTTTCAAGAATTGATTTTTTTTAATTATTTGTAATGAAAGAAAAATAAACAAATTTATAAATTAAGATTTTTGTTTTATTGTAATAAAACAAATAAAACACGAATTAATTCTTTTTTAACCTTTTTTAGTAAAAAAACAAAAAATTGCATTATTTATTATTAGTGTTATTATCGCATAGTAAATACATTCATCAAAAAAAATTTTTTTTTATTAGCAGGAAAGTTTAAACAATTGGTTATATTTGATATAAGATATGTCTTTTTTTTATTATTGTAAAAATAGGTTTTTTACTTTAAAGCACTTACAAATCTTTTATAAATTATAAAAACGAACTAGCGATTTGTATCACTATTTTTTATTACACAAATTTAATTAATTAATTAATTAATTAAACGTGTAAAGCCTGCCCTAATATCGCGCGCATCAGGAAAACTAATAGCAATACGTATATTCTGCACAATTATAGGGGGTTTAATGTAGAATGAGAATATAGCTAATAAACCCTTGCTATTTAAGGATTTAGATTTTAAATTAATAAAGAATTATTGGTATTGTAATACATGCTCCACCTCCCTGCAATTATCGATGCATAATATACTTTAAAAAGTATATATATATATATACACAATACGGGCCCCACTTACATCTCTATCATTCTACAAGTGGCGGAAATTTATCTTTGAGAGTCCAGAATTTTGTTTGGTGCGTCCACAACATCCAATTGTATTCCTAGTACCAAGGACACTCGCGGGATCTATGGAGGGAATATCGGCGAAAACAGGAATATGACCAGGTCAACGTTTGCCTTACAGTTTTAGATTGGATTTTTCTAAAGCCATCATTTTTGACCGTGTCTTGTGTTTTAGATCCAGGGAGTAAAATAACATGATGGTTTCGCATAACCATTTTGCACATTTTCAAGGATATTTAAGAATTTCCCTGGGATCCGAAACATACATTAACGGGGCGTATATCCTTTACGCTTATTTTGCTTTACCATGAATAGAATCCATTTCACTTTGTATTTCATTATAAGCGATATAATCTGCTTGTGTCCTGTTCCCCCATTCTATAACCTCGCCACTTGGGTTATATCCAGTCATGAAAGCTTTGACCTCACTCTAGATCAAGAGAAATGATGCCAGCACCTCTATTTTCTCCAACCACCGAAAATTTAGAACCTTGGTTATCAGCCCTAACTTCAAGATTTGATTAATACCTCTGAGAAATGAAAATGAAAATTCGTCTTTATTTTTTCCCAACCTGTCGATCTAATGACAATTAAATTTGAACTTCTCTCTAATGCTAAAATGGATCAAATTTTCATTTTTTATAGTGCTAAACATCGGTCTGTTGTTGCCCGGCGAGCAGTTCCAATCTATTTTAATCCTCCGAATTAAGGTGAAGTCTTATTTTTCTCGGCTGGAAGTTTTTAAAAGAAGTCGTCGAAGCTTGCATCTTCACTTCAGAGAGAGAACATGAATCCGAAGATAAAACCACATCTGCTCTAGAACTCTTTCATATACCATTTGAATTAACGGTAACTCGTTGACTTGGGCGCAGTGATTTACTAGTGGTTTTTAAAGACATCAGTTTGCGAGTTCTCATCATCACTGAGGAATATTGCATATAAGCTTTAAAATCCTTTTTAATTAAAGATAAATGAATTATTTTTTTTATATACAAGAAAAAATAAAAGTCGAAAATCGAAAGTAAGACAACTACTACCACCACCGCTACTTAACTTCCATCTCAGCTCATTATAGCAAAGACTACAAAATAATAATAATTTATTTACAAAAATTTTGCTGCTTAGGTAATATTTATGTCTTTTTCTTTTTACGTGAAAATTTTAATTGAATGTGCATACAGGCAGTCGAACTCGTTGAACCGAAGCCAATGTTTCACAAAAAATCGGTTTAGATAATTAAAAAACATCGATTTTATCGCGTATATTTGTTTTATCAAAGCATCGTCTTAACGAGTTCTGGCCGTACATCCGAACGGTTTAATTAATAACGTTGACTCGTATGTAAAATTCGGGTCTTTTTTTATTTCTAATAAGAAACAATAAATAAATTTCTATATGTCGCTGATTTTTTTTTATGGAAAGGTGTGTGTGATTGATAATAATTAATGTATAAGACTCCGAAATATTCATAATAAAAAACTTTCATGATTTTTTTAAAAAAAATAAATATTAAATAAATGTTTTCTATATAAAAGTTTTTAAATAAACAAAATGTTTTGTTAGTTATTAATGTCGTTGTTGTCGTTGCTGTTATTATTGTAAAAAGAATGTTCTTGATCAGACTCTTTAAGATCATTTAAATTACGAGGAGTTGGTAAATTTTCAAAATCCAATAGATGGCTTTTATAAATTGCTTGTGGATGTGGTGTGGTGAATGGTTTCAAATTTGAATCATCTGATTTTAATAATTGAAGCCTTACTTTTTCAGCAACAAAAAATTGATTTGATACAATGTGCTTTTGAGAAACACCCATATGCCATCCCCAAGACATTAATATTTTTTCTATCTCTCTGATGTTAGGGCGTAACTTTGAATCAGCATCCCAACACTTATTCATAAGCTCAATATAACACTGCGGGATTTCCAGGATTATCGGCGGACGTAGGCCGTCACAAATTTCTCGAGCAAGCTGTTCATCATGAATACGGTCGAAGAATGGTTTTTGAGAAGAGGCTACTTCCCACATCACTATACCAAAGCTATAGACATCAGAAGCTTCAGTGTAATCTTCGCCACAAAGAATTTCGGGAGCAACATAAGGTAGTATGCCATAAGCATGATTTTCGTCTATATTTGGGTTATCTGCGGGATAATATTGACCTAAATCTGATATAAAAGTTAAACTTTGTGAGCCGTTAAAATGTCTCAAAATATTACCACTATGAAAATTTTTATGAAGCAAATTTGCATTATGAATTTCCATAAGACCATGTGCAATGTTGTAAACGATGCCCAATTTTTTTTCCCAAGAAATATCTTTATAGTTCATTCTCAGGTAATGCCTAAGATCTCCATCCACCAATTCTGTTATCATGAAATAATCTTTTGAAATGGGATCCCTAGTAAAGCCATAACAACGTAAAATATAGTCACTTTGTAACCTGTTTCTTTGAAGCTTTCAAATCGAATTATCGAATTAGATGAATAATATTCTTAGTAATTATATATATATCACATGACAAAAGAAATGGTTCAAAGATGTGTAACATACCTCTTTCCAAAATTCAGGATCAGCATTACGAGAATTTTGTAAACGTTTTAGAGCAATCCGTTTTTCACCTTCTCGAACCCAATTTTCAGCACCATCATCCCAAAATAACTTAGGACCAAGATCCCAAATAGCACTACAAACAATTCCGAAGCCGCCCTTATACATTTCCCTGACGTCATCGAACTTATCATAAGGTATCCATTCCAAGAAACTCGAAGAATTTGTTATATTTAATTGAGTGTATCTAATGTAATTGTCCAATTCAAGATTCCCACTTGTCCAGTTTGCAAAATCTGATTTAAATCTTTTAATTACACATGGTTTACACCATCCTCGATGAGCATATGGTTGTTTACAGTTTAGACAAGATTTCGGTGTAAACGAAGGCAATTCACGAAATGATGTAGCTTTTTTACTAGAAACACACCCCATTTGTTTATTGCTACCTAATAAAAAACTAAGTAAATGAATGAATTGATTTGCCAATTCAAAAACATCAACCTTTGACTTACCAGTTCAAAATTAATTTGGCTACTATATATTTATCAATCAAGTAGAAAGTTTGTTAAATTCAAAAAAAAAATCATTGGTAAAGGTATTTATAATATCAAAATTAATTAATTAAATTAAAACAGGTTGATAATAATTAATTAAAAAAAAAGAAAGTATTGTTTTTTCAATATTTAAATAAAAAAAAACGAAATGGTAAATTTATTTAAAAAAAAATTTTCATTGTTTGCATTGACCAATTGCATGTGCACATTTTAAACAAAATTATGACAATCAATCATAAAAAAATGATAATATCATACTACCTAATCTATTTTTCATCTTCTACTTTCAACACCCCATTTATAAATATTGAAAGCAGACGCATATAAAGTCTATTATTGTTTTCATAATCACAAAAGATATCCTTCTGGATTAAATCAACAAAATGTTCATTGAACTAACTCGGTTAGATGATCCTGAAAAACCATTATACATTGGATGATCAATACTTTTGCCGATAAAAAAAAATCATCTTAAAGAAAAGCCATCCTTTCATAAATGTACATGAAGTGGCGTTAATAAAGGTATTAGTATCAGTATCTTTTTATTGACCAGGGTAATATTCTATTCCGGGGCCTTCGCTCATTGGACCTTTTATAATTTTGGGGGAAAAGATAAATTCGTCGCCATAAACTTTTCACAAAACCCAAAGTAATGCAACAACCATTATTTAAAAGTGCCTTCAATAAAAGTAAAGTTATTCCATTTGAAAAACAAACAGAAAATCAAAATCTATTTAAAAGTATATCGGTTTTTAAACAATTAACAAATCCAAACAATGAACCACAACCAATATGGAATAATTTTACAGCTCAAGGTATTGGAATTTATAGTTTATTATTTTATAAATGAAGATTTAATAAGCATCTATAATTATTGTTATCATTATGGAATTTAATTTAATAGATTTGGAAATTCTTTCCAGCATTGTAACTTTTGCTACATTTATCAGTTGTTCTTCGAAAATCACGACTACATCTTACATAAACATTTTTCGAGCTCATGATATTGTACTTAGAAAACGTAATATTAATCCAAAGTCTAATAAGCTATATTATCAATCCTTATTAAAATTATCAATGGAACCAGGCGAATCTTGGTTTCAAAAATTCGAGAATATAGTCAAAGTAAAGAGACAATACACACTTTTCAAAATCAAAATTTTTTAATTATGTTCTTATTATTTTTTTATTATTATGTTAAGTTTTAGAATGTTTTAACTTACATAAAACTATTTATTTCAAGAATCTTGGTTACATGACTGATAGCAATATATACAAATGGATTTTAAGTGTTACAAGTAGTCAAAGTAGTAATTATAATAACAATAATAACGACAGTAAAAATAAGAATGGTAATGACGTCGATGGAGAATCTAATCATCACATTCCATTTAATGATGATAATTCCAAGAAGATTGAATTGAGCACTGTTGAAAATAAAGAAAAGGTGCTTGATTTAATTTAATTTAATTCGAATTTATTATTTATTTGTTCATTTTATTTATTGTTTGTTTGTTTAAGAGCTTTAATTCAATTACACAAGCTGATTTGCAATCAAGAAATACTTATTATAATGATGGTGATGATGATGATAAATTATTGAAAACAAATACAAGTGATATTGAATTCGGGTTAAAGTCAAAAGTAATATTTCTCCATATTTATGAAAATTGAAACAATTAACAGTTAGAATCGTCAGTAACTTTTATGAATAATAAAATTTAGAATGAATCTCTAACAACTTCAACAGACCAACTTGATGTAATATTAAATGATTCAATGAGTTATCAATCAAATAATTTGGATGATGATTGTATAGACTTCAAACAATCTGATAAAATTATTTTATCAAAATTTTCTCCAAAAGAAAAGGTCAAATTAAAAAATATTTTAAGAAACTGGAAAAGGTAACAACAACGATAGCAACAGAAAAATATTGCAATTATCATTATTATCAAATCTAAAAGTTATTTTATAATATAACCTCTAATCTATACATAGTTATACAATACAAGTTCGTCAAAATCGTACAAAAGTAGTTCAACAGTTAAGATTATCCATAAATTTTTATCAAAAAAATCTTTTAAAAAAATTTTTTAAAAAATTTCATAAGTCATGTAAAAGTGTACAGGTAATTTATTATAATATAATTCTAATAATATTTGAAATCACAAGTCAACTAATAATAGTCAAATATATTTATATAATTCTATAGTCAAAAAGAATTTTACTAAAAAAAGAATCAGATGCATTCTATATTAGCAATTTTTTTAACAAATGGTCAGATAGAAATCAAAAAGGTATTTATTATATAATAAATATAATAATAATAAAAATAATAATACTAAAGTTTTTATTGTTCACTAAATCCACACAAAATGAATAAATTTTAAATAGTTTCCAAACATAAAAGTCAAGCAATAATTTTTGACAATGAAAAACATTTAAAACAATATTTTATCAGTTGGAATTCAAAGTTAGCATTATTTCATTTAAATATTTATCTATTCATTTTATTGCTAATTAATTAATTTTTATTATTATTGATATTACTACCACTATCATTCTTTAGAACCAAGATAATCAAGAGACAAGTCAGACTTGCTAAAAAGTATCATTTTAATTGCAGTAAAGAATTCTTACTTGATGTTATGAATAATTGGCATTCAATTGCTGTAAATAAATCAACAAAAAATGCATTATTAACTAAATCATATAAAATATGGAGAACAAAATTCATATATTCATTATTAACAAAAGATAATCAACAAATTATGTTGGACAAATATTTTGAAATGTGGAAAATATCCTTTTATTTATTTATTTATTTTATTAATTTATATGACATATTCATATATATTACTTTTTATGATCTTTTAACTTATTTTAACACGATAAATATTATATTAGTCTCAATTCAGTACCTAAAAGGTATGCTTATTTTGATGATGATATTAATAAGACGTTAACACAGAAAGCTTTTGAAAAATGGAAGGAAAGATATAAAAATTATATTTTATTAAGTGAAGTTGCTGATGTGAGTAATATATCATATTTATTTATTATAATTATTAAATGATCAAATAATAATATTATTATTATTAGGATGAATTTAATCTAAAGCTGATTAAGGTCAAATTTCTTCAATGGAGAGAAGCTTTGCAAAGAAGAAAAATAATGTCAAAAACTGCAAGTGTACCTTTACTAAATCGTTGTCTTCTTGAATGGTATAGTAGGTAAATAATAGATAACATAAAATATTGCTTTTTTTATCATTTTTATCATGTTGATGTAGTAAATATTAAATCATTTTACATCATTAGAACCATTCAAAAATATAAACAAAAAGAACATGAACGAAAACTTGCACTAGAAGTTTTAAGAGGTAATTATAATAGTCATCATATTAAAAAATCTATGTTTATATCATTAAAACTATAATAATTTTTAGAATGGAAGAAAATAGCAGGAAAAAATTATGATGTAATGATCCCTTGTCAAGATATTTGATTTTCTTCAAATAATCAGAATACATGCAAGTGAGCTAACAAATTCATCCTTGCTAACAGCTGGAAAAATCTCCAATCTCAACCTGCAGGTATTCTGATTTAAGTAAATTATATTCTACAATGGTAACATAAAATGTTTTTATTAAAGATAAATTTGTTTAAAATACATTTTATCATGTGATTCAATAAAATGTACAAACTTGCATGATCAACATAAATTTTCTTACCATGCATGGCACATTGTCTGTACAATGGACTTGTAAACAAAAATATTGTATTTTTTCTCTTCAAATGTAATTATTAAGATCTTTTTTAGCATGATAAGATAGAGTGCATAGAGAGCTTTCAGAAGTATATTAATATAGATTGTGTTGGTATTTCTGAGAGGAAAGGAGTTAAGAACAAAGCCATTTTTATAAGATATTGTATTATTTGGTTTTCTTTTCATCAATAATCTAACTTTACTTCCTTTTGTGAGACTTTCAAATTTCTCATCTGTTTTTATATATATCTTATTTTTTTAGTAAAAAAAGTCCTACTTCTTGTATTATTCCATTGACTGGTGCTTTTTTTCTAACTTCTGTTTCTTGACTTTGTTATTTTGTTAATTTCATCCACCAACAGTTGTAGTCTTGTTTTGTAAACTTCTTGATATAATAGACAATCTAACCCTTTTCACAACTTGTGAAGATATTTTAACTGCCTTCCTCCCCCATTATATGTGCTACCCAGATCCCAAATGTACAAAGTGAATTTGGGCCAGCCTGTCAAAGAAATCCCAAATCCCAAACTACTTTGTACACCCATAGCATTCTGTTTCCCAATCAATAAATACCCAGGATTGTGAAAGTGAGCAACTCTTTTATTACACTATATGCTTATTGGTTAGGAAAGCAAGGCAGAAAGATTGATCTACATTTGGGAATGTACAAGGATGTTGTATAAATGTAGGGTTTCTAGGACAAAACTCGTTTTTTCTGAGACAATTTATCAAGTTTATAGCCACAAGGTGTTCCAGAAGCCTATTTCATGAATTTCGATACCATTATTTTTTTATATCATGTATATCCACAAGGACCTGTAGGTGTTGATTTAATATCAATTTACTATGTGATGTAATCCAAGAAAAATTTTTCATTAGTTAACAAAACTATAAATTAATAAAATTTTCAAATTAAACATTTCAATGATCTATATAAAAATAAAACAAAAATGTTATCTTATATTACCCAAACTTTTAACTATATTGTTAAAGCAATTTCTTATCTAGATGACAGCAAAGACCTGTTCAAGGCAGGAGATCTAGTAGAGGTCAGAGAAGTGATTGAGTATATGAAAACACCAAAGTTAACTACTCAAAAGAGACCAAGAGCTAAAGCTATTTCATCTGGGAAATATGCTAAAAATAAGGGAGAAAAGGTTCCAGATTGAAGAAGGTGCATTATACAATGAAATAAAGAACCAAATTTTAAATACTGAGAGCAAGTATTACACTAGTGTTCCATGTCGCAATCCAAAAAAGGAAACAAAATGGTCGTAAAGGTGGTTGCAACCAGTGGTTGCAATCATT